GAGAGAGAGAGAGAGAGAGAGAGAGAGAGAGAGAGAGAGAGAGAGAGGAAAAGAGAGGAAAAAAATATGTCGCACGTAAAAAGGAACGAAAACTAGTTGCAATAGTTGTGTCAGCAATATAGCATATACTTTTGCTTCGGTCGATTTCTAATCGGGTGAGAAAGAAAGAGAGAGAGAGAGATAGGGGGGGCTGCATTGAATGCGCGCGGTGTACCGAAAGTATAATTTAAAGTTTATTTCAAGAGAGACACACGATGCCATTGAGACAGCACAGAAAATGTGTTCATTGGTCATACGTATCATTACATGAAGTATGCAGACAAAAAGTTTTGTAATGAAATACTCGAGTGAATGTGCGTGTGTGTGTGGTGCGAGAGAGCAAGCGAGCCACACGTAACACACTGAATATTCCAAAAATGCGCTCGATATATAATCATCCTCGAACATGCATACGAGCTCACGAAGGGCGCGTGTGCATTCATAAAAGAGTCACCGAGGTAGAGAGAGAACGAAAGACATAAATGCCGCTTTTCAAAAGTTATGGTAATTCTGGTTGTGCGAGCCCAACCAAACCGCTCTTTCGTTCACTCACCAAAATTGAAAACTTTTGCAATGCCAACGAATCAAGGGAAAAACTATTACAAATGTTTATAGTGTGCAAAAGTGATAAAGTGAAATAATATTTAATAAGAAAATTTTTCGAACGCACAACGCCAAACTTTTTTCCCCAACTTCCTCTGACGTTCGTTCGTTCGCACAATTCCACAGACACTTGAAAACTTATCTGTGTAATTTTGCAGTGCCGCAAGTGCCGTGAAAACAAATATATGTATGTTGTGTGTGTGTGTGTGTATTTGCTGGCCGGGGCGAGATATTGTGTAGCGGGCAAAGGGGAGTGATGAAGATGCGACTGAAATCGATGTTATAGCGGTGGCATTAAAGTCGTCGAGCCACTGTAATTGCAATCGAAGACTGCATGCAGCGAAAAAAGGAAACTTTTCTTTTGTAAAATACACCCGAAACGAAAAAAAATCGAGAAAAGAAGCAAAAAAAAAACAACGCACAAAGCGACTCAAACATACAACTTTTTTTTGTTGCTTTGCTAGAAAATTTATGCGCAAGAAAAAAAAACAACAAAGTGAAAACATTCCAGAGCGCTGCTCTTGGATACGACCAACGAACAGAACAATAAAACAGGGAGAAAAATAAATTTGTATTTATTTAGTGCTTGAAAAAAGGCGTCGACTTAAGAAAAACTTTTTCCAAAGTCTAATGATATATCCAATAGTTTATATCGGCAATGTAGTTGTCTCGTTGCGCATGGGAATGGACAGGACCTGGCTCCACTCAAACTCCTTAATGACAAACCATTATGGAGCAATTGAGGAGGAAATTGTGCCGGAATGAAAAACCAATATGAGCTCAAAACAAGAAGAACACTTGATAAACGAAGATAATTTATATTTGGTTAATGAAAATTCCCCGACAGCAGCCAGTGTATGTATGTGTTTATTGAAAACTTTCAACAATCGATGTTTTCACACCACACTCCAAAGCATATTATGTGTGTGCTCTGTGCTGCCGTCACAACAAAGGCTATTTAAAAATCGATAACCAACCAAATTGAACGACAACAATCCAATACCCGTATCTCACTGAAACGAAAACATGCTGCTCAATA